GTGCAGTGGATAAGAATCTGCCTTCCAATGCAGGGGACACAGGTTTGATACCTGGTCTGGGAAGATCCCACATGCCGTGGAGCAACTAAGCCCGTGTGCCACAACTACTGAGCCTGTGCTCTAGAGCCCGTGAGCCACAACTACTGAGCCTGCATGCCACAACTACTGAAGCCCACACCACCATGAAGACCCAACACAGCCAAAAATAAAAACAGACAAATAAATTAATTTTAAAAAAAAGAATAACTGTGGTACAATGATAGGTGAAATGATGAACACAGCACATAAGAAAGAATGTGACTGGTTGTTTTATATGTACAAAGCAAAACCAAAAGAATCCTTCTCCTTTAAAAGATAGGAATTAAAGGAGCAAATCTAATATATCACTCATTGCTCACCTATTATGCAAAGCACATGCTAGGTACAGGGAAGCAAAATGACTGACACGGGCCCTGTGGTCAAGAATTTCTAAATTCTAAGAATTTTCTCCAATACAAATGCTTTCAACAGAAGGCAAAGCTCAGCCAGATTATTCAGTGAGCTCTTTTAAGTTGTAAATTAATTGTATCCTTCCTATCTCAGAGTTGCCTAATTAAAAAATATATAAGTATATATATATTGGCACTTGGCATCTAGTCCTGTTGTTCATTGAGTGACTTTGAAAAGTCATTTCCCCTCTCTGAAGCTCCATTTTCTCATCTATAAAATAGAGAGTTCAACCAGATAATCTCTAAGGTGTTTTCTAGCCTGAATAACTGTGCTATGAATCCAAAAAGCAGCTGTTTTTTCTTGCCTGGTTTGTAAGCTGATTAGCAACATCCTATGTGGAGCAATTTTGAGGGGAATAAAATAAATCCTCCTTACTCCAAGAATTCTGCTTCTACCTGCTAGCTCATGTCTGAAATGCTCTCTCCTGAGAGTGTCGTTTTATGAATTTAAATCCCTATTATACTAGAAATTATCCAGAAAGATGTTTCAGCATGTAATCAGTTAAGTCCTTGCGTGACGGGCCAGAGTCTCAGATTTGTTATGAGTAGAGTGGTGGGAAAGGAGGCAGAGGGGAGAGGTGATCATTGAAAAGGGCTAGAGGAGGGGGCTAGGACTCTTTTTTTTTTTTTAATTTATTTTTGGTTGCGTTGGGTCTTCATTGCTGCGCGTGGGCTTTCTCTAGTTGTGGAGAACGGGGGCTACTCTTCGTTGCAGTGCGCAGGCTTCTCATTGTGGTGGCTTCTCTTGTTGCAGAGCACAGGCTCTAGGCGCATGGGCTTCAGTAGTTGTGGCACACGGACTCAGTAGCTGTGGTTTGCGGGCTTAGTTGCTCTGCGGCATGTGGGATCTTCCCAGACCAGGGCTTGAACCCGTGTCGCCTGCATTGGCAGGTGGATTCTTAAACACTGTGCCACCAGGGAAGCCCTGTACCACAGTTATTCTTAAGTAATCTTTGTCTACCCAACTACACAGTGGCTACTTTGAGGACGTGAGTGAGTCACCACTGGACCCTAGGGCGTAACACAGGGCCTGACACATTAGTGGGTTTTCAATAAATGCTTTATGAATTAAACTGACTAAATACGGGTCTTTCTTTTTCTGTATTATTGATACATGGGTTTTATTTGTTAACTAAACTCCCCAGCAACTTAAACTTTCTTGATTTGAGTTGGAATTTAGTTTTTGTTTGCTTTGGTTTACCTTATTTCTAAAGAATATATCTTTGTTTATTCCCTCATGTATAGAAAAATGATTTGCTACTGTTTCCACTTCCGTAAAACAAAAAATTGTTAGGTGGCTAAATATAATTTATACATTTATTTTGGCTTTTAGCATACACTACAGTTAGTTAAGCTCATCATTTCACACATAAAAATATTAACACCCTTACAGTTAGTATGAAGAGAAGATGTATCTACTTTAAAATTGCTTTCTTAAAAAACTAATTGTAATTCTTGGGCTTCCCTGGTGGCGCAGTGGTTGAGAATCTGCCTGCCAATGCAGGGGGACACGGGTTTGAGCCCTGGTCTGGGAAGATCCCACATGCTGCGGAGCAAAGAAGCCCGTGCGCCACAACTACTGAGATTGCGCGTCTGGAGCCTGTGCTCTGCAGCAAGAGAGGCCGCGATAGTGAGAGGCCCGCACACCGCGATGAAGAGTGGCCCCTGCTTGCTGCAACTAGAGAAAGCCCTCGCACAGAAACGAAGACCCAACACAGCCAAAAATATATAAATAAATGAAAAAAAGTAATTGTAATTCTGGAAGCAAATATTTTTTAAATTTCCAGACTTATATAGTTATACACTTTTTAAAAAGTATTTTGCATTAGGTGGTTTTCTGGGAAATTTGAAATTAACAGTAGATTAGCATTCCATTAAGTTTTCAGAATAATTACACATGTGTAAGGGCATCATGATTAAGTCAGATTAATTGATTATACATCTATAAGGCAATTTGATTAAATCACAATTATTGATTTGTCAAAGCCCAACTAATTTTTTCATCTTTAGTTTTATTATGCAGTACAACACAATAGGTAGTTTATTATCTGGATATTTATATTTTGGATAAATATGTTGTTAGAAAAGGCTGAATCCAGATGATGCTACAGCAGAAAGATCACTTAGGAGACTTGCTTGGGTCTAGCTTCTACTTCTTTTGCCGAATCTTACTGTACAGTTGTTTGAAATAGACTGTTTGGCTTTCACTGGGATCCTGAGCATCAATGAATAAATGATATTTTAGTTTTTCCACAAATGTGTGTGGACTTCTCTCATTTTGCGTTCTTAACAGGGATCAAAGTTCAGTAAATATTTTAATGTGTTGATATTTGTAGCCAGTAAATCTTGACCTAATAGTTGTCTGTTACATGGGAAATATAACTAAGACTCTTTTTTGGTAAGAGTTCTTACTTCTAGTGGACATTATTGGCATATGGCACACTCTATCTATCTATCTGACTATCTGTGTATGTATGTATCTATCTGCACACACACACACACAGAGTTAAATGGTTATAAGGCAGTACAGTATGATATAAAGGAGGCTGGGCTCTGTGTAGAACAGATCCAGGTTTGAATTTTCTGTCACATTCTAGTTGTGTGACTTTAAGAATATTAATCTCTCTAAATCTTAAATTAATTTCATAATCCATGAAATGTTTTTATGTGTGTATCATGGTCATTATTAATACTTGGCATATAGCAAATGCTTATTAACTATTAGCTCGTATTATGACGATTTATATCTCTTATTTTTGCTTATTTTTCCTCTTTCTATTTCAAGGAGATTTGAAGCAACTTACCATGCTCTCTAGAGAAATGACTCACTGGGAACCATTCCAATGGCTGATGGATAAAACTCGGAAGAACCACTGCCATTCTGTATTGGATGTTTAGAGAACAAATGGGTACTTGGGAACGTAAAGCTTGGAAAATTCTCCTATGGATTCCTGACAGCAAAAATGTACGTATGCACACTGACTAGAGGTGCATTTAGATAAACAAATGCTGGGTTGAATTTGATCAGTACTAAGTGGAATACATTCTTTTACATACATTGATTGGGTAGCTCAAAAGCTGACCCTAAGTTATGAGTGGGGACCTGTAATACACTTGAAAGACCATTTGAAAATATCTAGTTTTTTATAGACAAAGTATCATTGGAGGGAGGATAAGGCAATCCATGACAAAAAGTGCATGGGCTTTGGAATCCAAATATCTCTGAATGAATTGCATTTATGTCATTTCCTAGCTGTGTGCTCTTTGGTAAATGACTTCACCTCTCGAAGCCTCAGTTTCCTCAGCGATAGAAGGCAATATGAGAATTAAATGAGATAATGTGTACAAAGTGCCTATCAGAGTGTCTGGCACTTGATAGATTCTCAACAGTCTTAACTGTAGTTATCATCAAGAAAGGAATTATAAAGTAGGCTACGATATTGGGTCTGTTCAATATTTTGGTAGATACAAGTGGATCTGTATTTAGTCGATGTAATATCACATCAGGACATAACCTTCTCCTTACATATAATCTAAACAATGAGCTTTTAAGTTATTAGTATCGGTAACAATAGTTGACATTTACTGAGTCTTCATTTGTGGCAATCACTAGGTTAAGTGCTTTCTCTGCATTATCACATTGATCTCCATAGCAGTCCCCTAATTTGGATATTATTGTCCCCATTTTATAGAGAAAGAAAATGAAACTTAAGGAGAAATACTCTGCTTAGAGTTACCTGGCTATTAAATGCCATCGATGGCCTAGAATCAAGGTCTGGTCTGAGTCCAAAGTGCAGGCTCTTGCCACCAGGTTACACCACCTCTGAATTTGTGACATATTCTAAAAACAAAGAAAGAGAATCTCTTGTTAGATAGACTGACCCTACTCTGACTTTAGGAAAGATAAAACCTGTTGCTTCGTAAAGGCTTTAGTTAATGAATAGGGAATCAAAGATTCGAACTTGAAGCTATAACCTACTTTGTAAATTTTCCTGAAATGAGAGAAATGGTGATCATCAAGCCAAAATTTCCACCATGTGTGACCCATTTCTTACTTGCTTGTCTCTAGTTAGCCTCATGTTCTTTTTTCACCTTGTGTCTTTTAAATGTATTGTACATGGGTTATGAACAGCGCATCCAGAATCATATCTTGGCATTAAAATTCCATGAAGTCCATTTTGGGAATCAGATTACTGCACCTATTTTTAGCTCTCAACACAAACCACTCTTTCCATTATGCTTTTAAATATCCTGTGATAAAATTATATTGAAAATAGCTCTTATAGCCAAATAAAAATCCTACATTTGGTTTAATCAGGCCAGAGCCATTGACTGGCATTAATGTAATTAATTACTGAGGCAGCTACCTGCCAGGGCCTCCTTCTTCCTCTTGGTTTAGGACTACCCTCCCCATTTGGTGCTATATTTATCTGCCCTCTTGGCCATAAAAGGCTGGCTGTGTGGCTCTGACATTCTACAGCCTGACCACATGCATTATTTTTGAACTGGCCCCCAGGGTCCTGTCTTTAGCCCTGCCTCTTAACATTTTCTTGGATTCAACCTGCGTGGGTTTTTCATTCTCTCATCCAGCTCCACAGTCACTTCGGAACATTTCCACCACCATCACTCCTTTGGAAACTGGTAAGTGTGACCTTGAGGCAGAAGAATGCACTTGATATTTTATGTGCTCAACAGCACTGCAGTGTGTGTGGTTTCTTTCTATCTTCTGAGCTCAGCAGTTTTCTCAGAGAGATGTCAGAATAGCAGAGAAATAGGAAAGTGGAGCTCCGGGGAAGGAAAACGAGCGGCAGGGTGCCAGTTTGTGCTGGCACAGCTCTTCTCTCAGATCAGTGGATTCTTTTAAAATTAAGCTACTGTTTCTGGAACTATAAAAAGATAATAGCTGTCTCAGATAGAACTGTAAGCGTGAGTCAAGTACTCTTTCCAAGTTACAGTTCAGTGGTTTGGTTGAAACCTGGAATGGGTGAGGTAACAGGAAATCATGTGTTTTCTATCCTCCATACGCCTACAATACTCCCTGATTACATATTAGATCAAAAGGAGTAAACTAGCTCTGAAGTCACTAGTCTCTAATTCAGTGATTTTGCTCTGACAGTGCCACGTGGATGAATGTAAGGGTACATTGGGTATTTCTAATCGGAAAATGGTTAAGCAATATTTCAGAGGCAACAAAGAGCCCCACATCATGATCCTAAAGTTAATATTTTCTGTGAAGAATTTTTATCAGCTTTCAGCCTCTAATGCCTGTACAAAGTATCATGTCACAGTTACAACTATGGAGTTACTGTCTCTTCCTAAATTCCCAAATTATTTTCAGGAAAAAACACAGGTCTTAAAGGAATGGAAGACAACCAAACCATCTTTCCTCCCAATACACTCTAGCTGTCATGTGTTGGGGATAATCCTCACTTACTTGATGAGGAGAAGGTAGTTGTACCTTTGTTCCAGAGGTCAGAGCTATGACAACCAGCTGAGTTGACATAAGGCCAAAGCCTGTTTACTTGTAATATATTATCTCTGTGCTTGGAATATTAAGTATTATTAAAAATAAACGTATTTGGGGAAAATAGAAATAAAGCGAATGGAAAATAGAATTGAGGCAAGACATTTAAAGATTTTATTTTGTGAAAATAACAGCATTTCAAGTTATTTGGGTTCTGAATTTAGCTTATAACATAATACACAGGAAGGTCATTCACTATTTATTTGGACATCATTCAAATAACATGTGCTGTGTTGCAGTGTAGTATGTATCAGTACAGAAGCTTATCAAACATCTTTATAAATGCCTGATCATATACTTCTATATTTATATATTCAACCCTTTTGTTTTATAAAAATGTGTCTAATAATAATTCATTATACCTGATCATCATCCTGTATATTTTAGAACAGAAAATAGCAATCTATTTAAGGGTTGAAGCAAAGTTGCTTGCTGGTAGCTATTTTCTTCCTCTTGAGAAATGCCATGTAGACTGATATCTTCCATGAGTCCTAACATAAATATTTCTGGAATGAAGTTTGCTGGATTTTCTTCTCTAGGGAATACATGCTGACTCTTTAGTTTAAATAAAAAGATTTAAAAAAATGGTTCTGAAGAACCTAGGGGCAGGACAGGAATAAAGATGCAGACATAGAGAATGGACTTGAGGACATGGGGAGGGGGAAGGGTAAGCTGGGACAAAGTGAGAGAGTGGCATGGACTTATATAGACTACCAAATGTAAAACAGATAGCTAGTGGGAAGCAGCCGCATAGCACAGGGAGATCAGCTCAGTGCTCTGTGACCACCTAGAGGGGTGGGATAGGGAGGGTGGGAGGGAGACACAAGAGGGAGGGGATATGGGGGTATATGTATATGTATAAGCTGATTCACTTTGTGATACAGCAGCAACAAGTACACCATTGTAAAGCAATTATACTCCAATAAAGATGTTAAAAAAAAGTAGATTTTTTTAAAAAAATTTTTAAGAGGTGAAAATTCTTATTAGGTGTTGAAATAAAAACACAAAAAATTGAAAACTTCTCCACACTAGTCATTTAAAATCCATTGAAATATTATTCTCTACCTGTCCTTAAAATCACTCCTATCTTCTAAGGCAAGCATTTCTCAAACTTCAGTGTACATCGGAAACACTTTGAGAAATTGTGTAGAATTCAGTCTCCTGCTCCCGCTCTCACCAAAGATCCTCATTTATCAAGTCTGAGGTTTGGCCTGGAAATCTGCAGGACTAATGACAAGAAAACATAAAGTAATAATAAAAGGGAAACAGCTTTTCAGTTCATCTTAGAAACTGTTTTTATATTTATCTCATTGTTTTTAATGGAACTGAATTGAAGAGCAAGCTTGTCTTGTACTTTAAAAGGCTTTCTAAAAAGTAGATTTATTTTTTGAATTTATTTATTTATTTATTTTTGGCTGCATTGCGTCTTCGTTGCTGTGCGCGAGCTTTCTCTAGTTGCATCAAGCAGAGGCTACTCTTTGTTGTGGTGCACGGACTTCTCATTGCTGTGGCTTCTCTTGCTGCAGAGCACTGGTTCTAGGCACACAGCCTTCAGTAGTTATGGCACGTGGGCTCAGTAGTTGCGTCTCAGGGGCTCTAGAGCGCAGGCTCAGTAGTTGTGGCACACGGGCTTAGTTGCTGTGTGGCATGTGGGATCTTCCTGGACCAGGGATAGACCCCGTGTCCCCTGCATTGGCAGGTGGATTCTTAACCACTGTGCCACCAGGGAAGTCCTAAAAAGTAGATTTAAACTTGACAGAAAATGTGGCAAGTTTAGAAGGATTCAGTCCTCATTTAGAATTTTTTTAAAAGATTTGAAAAATTTATTACAACTAATTTCACTTGTAAAAAATTTAGGACATGCACAAAAGCATTAAAAATGGAAGAGGGGGGCTTCCCTGGTGGCACAGGGAAGCCTGCGCACCTAAAGCCAGTTCTCTTGCTGCAGAGCCAGTGCTCTGCAGCAAGAGAAGCTGCCTCGATGAGAAGCCTGCGCACCGCACCGAAGATCCAATGCAGCCAAAAATAAATAAATTAATTAATTTAAAAAAAATGTAAGAGAGGGCTTCCATAAAACCACTACTTCATCCAGGGTTGTCAATATGGCTGATACGCTTCTGTCAGTGGACAGATTTTTCAAGAAAGATAATGCAGTCTGAAGTTTCCCCTCTCTATGCTAAGCAAACCTATTTTTGACTTTCAGTAGGACTGTTAGGTCATGTTCACAATGCAAACTGCTACACTGATGATTGACTTTCTTGCTGCCTTATGTAGGAAGACTAGAAGCCTTCATATTCTTAATGGAATTTTTCTGCCTTGACACTATACCTTTTTGAAGTATTTGTGAAATTCGAGAGAGCTTGTTATATGACAATATAAGCATCCTCCAGGGTTCAGTCCTAGGACTTTCATTCTCATCTATTTTCTTTTCAGCATTGAATAGCATCTAAATGCTGGTGAGTCCCAAATGTAGGTCTCCATCCTGAACCTTTACCCTGTATTCCAGAGTCAAATATCCAACTTAATCTCTTAATTAAGTTTAAGATTAATCACTTAATCTCTCCACTTGGGTGTCTAGCAGGTATCTCAAATGTAGAATGTCTCAAACCAGTCTCCTGTTCTTCCATTCTGAACTGCTCTTTTCTTATACTCCTGGCTCGTCTCAGTTAATAGCAGTTTTAGTCTTCCAATTACTCAAGCAAAATCCTTGGAGCCATCTCTCATTCCTCTCTTTCTTTCACACCCTAATCCAGAACTTTCAACAAATGCTATTGCTTCTGCCTGCAAAGCATGCAGAGTCTGATCACTTCTCACACTTCCACTGCTACCACTATAATCTCTAGCCTGGACTATTGCAGTGGCCTTTATATTAATTTGCTAGGGCTGCCATAATGAAGTACCATAGACTGGGTGGCTTAAACAACAGAAACTTATCTTCTCATGATTCTGGAGATTAGAAATCTGAGATCAAGGTGTCAGCTGGGCTGGTTTTTCTGAGGCCTCTCTCCTGGCTTGTAGATGGTCATCTTCTTGTGTCTTCACACAGTCTTCCCTCTGTATATGTACATATCTGTGTCCTAATTTCCTCTCCTTATAGGGATGCCAATCATGTCATATTGGATTAGAATCTATCCTAATGACCTCAGTTTAACCTCACTTCTTCTGTAAAGATCTTATCTCCAAATACAGTCACATTCTGAAGTACTGAAGGTTAGGACATCTATATATGAATTTGGGGGGGGGGGATACAACTCAGCCCATAACAGCCTTCTAATTGGTCTCCTGGCTTTCACTCTTGTCTCTCAACAGTCTATTCTCAAACTCAGCAAGAGTGATTCTCAGCTCAGAACATTCCAGTGACTCCCTAGCCCTTTCAGAATAGAATTCAAAGTCCTTACAGTCACCTGTAGGACACTACACTATCTGCCCTCCCCACCCTCCACCTCTCTGACATCATCTTCTATACCTCTCCCTGCACCTCCCTCACTCCATGCAGCCTCACTGGCCTATTTGCCATTCCTGGAGTACAACAGGCAGGCTCACACCCCAGTGCCTTTGCAATGGTCTTCCAACCAGAATACTTCCCCCCAGATATTCTCATGCTCAGATGTCACTTTCATGCTCAGTCATCATCATCATCCCTAATGATGCTGTTTAAATTGCATCCCATCCCACTTTCCTGTTTTATTTTTCTCTATAGCATTTAGCAGGTCCTAATATACTTTACACTTTATTTTCTCTATTTGTCTGTCTCTTGCAATAGATCATAAGGTTGTATATAGGGTTATCAGAGCAGGGATTTTGTTTGTTTTGTTCATCTCTGTATTTCCTGTGCTGGAATAGTACCAGGCTCAAAATAGGTTCTCAGTTATTATTTGTTGAATGAAAACCACGTTGGCTGGACGCAGACTCTCCATCATTACATATTCTCTCAGATGAAGCCCCTGTCAGAATGAAATGCCAAAAAATTAGAAATATATGCTATGAAAGGTCTAAGGAAAAAGCACAATAGGGAAACTTTGTAAAGATCTCCTAGGTATTTAAAAAAAGGAGAAGACGGTACAATGATAGGAGGGGGTACATCTGGGCTATGAAACAAGGAATTTATTGAGTAACCAGCTAAACTAACCTTCACATCAGTTTCCACTTACTCTTTGGAACGGATAAAAGAGTATTAATTTTTACATGTTGGTTTAGATGACTTGTTCTGTTGGGTTTGTTCCTTAATAGTTCACCCCCAAACTCTTGCTTTCTTGTAGATTGCCTTGTTCCCTGGGGGCACATGATGTCTCTGCCTTTTTATCAGAAACTTCACGAGCACTATGATCGCAGCTACCACAACAAAAACCTTCGCACCACCATGAGCCAGTACCAGCAGGAGAAGAAAAGCTCGGCCATCTACACCCACGGCTCCACTGCCTACAGCAGCCGCTCCTCCGCTGCCCACCGCCAGAAGTCCGAGGCCTTCAGCCAGGCGTCCGCCGCGTCCTACCAGCAGCAGGCTTCCCGGGCCTCCGAGTTTGCCCTCTCATCTGCAGTCAGTCAGAAGGCTGCCTCAGCCTACGACTATGGCTACTCCCACGGGTATGTCCAAAGCAGCCTTACGAATTTAGGGCAAAGCCACGTTCTCTGAATAACTTCCCCATGTCACATTTTCTTATCTTCTTACTGGCAGCCCTACCTTTAAACCAGGTATGGAGCAAGGCCATGTTTTGGGAGGCCTGGGACTTATGTCTACGATTTCCCTTTACCTTCCTTCTCTGAGTTTCACAAAAAGCTTCACAGCCACCCTGGGATGTCTTGCTTGAATTGCCATCTGCGATATTGCTAGAAGCAGAGATGTTTTGCCACAAGTCGTGTTCAATATTCAGCAGCAGCAGAGCCAGGAAACCTCATTTCAATACTCACAGCAGGTTTCCTCGTCCTGAGAACATTTCAACTTAGATGAGAATAGAAATTTTTTTTTTTGAAGAAATGCTCATGCAGAGTCTTAACTTCCAATTTTATTTATTTATTTTTAATTATTTTATTTTATTTATTTATTTTTGGCTGTGTTGGGTCTTCATTGCTGCGCACAGGCTTTCTCTAGCTGCAGCAAGCAGGGGCTACTCTTCGCTGTGGTGCACAGGCTTCTCATTGTGGTGGCTTCTCTTGTTTCAGAGCACGGGCTCTAAGTGTGCAGGCTTCAGTAGCTGTGGCTCACGGGCTTAGTTGCTCCGTGGCATGTGGGATCCTCCCTGACCAGGGATCCAACCCCTGTCCCCTGCATTGGCAGGTGGATTCTTAACCACTGTGCCACCAGGGAAGTCATAGATGAGAATAGAATTTGAAATTCACAGACTACAGGATCCCAAACTACAGCAGAGATGTGTTCTAGTCTTTCAATATATGAAAGCCAAGGTTAAAATTCCAAGTTATTATTCAAGCAGCAAATATTTTCTTTAGCCAGGGCATTTTATAAAAACATGGCCCTATCTCAGTCAGCCTAAGAATACCAGGAGCAAACTGGTACTCTGACAAAATTAGATTTAACCCATTGCCATGAGGGAGACCACACACCAGAGGAAAAGAGAGTTTCAGTAGGATTCTAGGAAGCATGGAGCTTAGATGTAGGTCTGGTCTGAAAAATGAATCCAGTGTCCTGCTGCTTTGGAAACAGTCAAGTTGAGATAAATGAGGACTGTTGTATCTAGAAACCTTTTATGTGGAGCTCAGCACCTGGGCTGGGAACTGAGGCTGCTTCTCTGTCAACAGCAACTCCTCCACACAAGAAGGCAATACCTCATTCTTCCTGATAAAATTTCAAACAGCAAGCCTACTGATAATGTTTGATATTAGAGAAGAAAGTTTCTCGGTGAGCCTGTAGTCACTCAAAGAGGGAGTTATCACAACCCTCTACTGCAGCAGTGTCCCCGGGAGACACATTTCCTGTGAACCTTGAGCTTGGTTTCTCTGTGTTTGTTGTTCCAGCCTGATAAATGCTGGGCAGATAATTTCTCAGTCCAAGCCAATTTTTATTTTCTCCATATCCAGAGCAAAATGTGTCATGGGGATTAAAACACACTTGCAAGATTCATGTGATTTTATTAAACATCTATCTATAGTCCACAGAAAGAATTGCTGAACTTCAAAACATAAAAATTCCTGGGCTATGTGATCAGTAATCACCTGCTGGCTCAAACCTCCTCCATCTGGCGTAGGTTGCATTATTTGTTCTAAACAGATATAATTTTGTCTTACAAAATTTAAGTCCACAAAATATCTGTTAGGGCAACTGGAGAAGGTGTTTATTTCTGGGAATTAAAAAAGTTACTGAGGAAATAATATGGTGGCTTGTATGTAAGGACAGTTTCTGAAGGCAGAAACGCCTGAATCCCTGTGGGTTTAAGCAGTACCTGATCCACGGCTGTGATTCCTGGGCACTGACATTGACCTCCTGGGAGCTTCTGCATGTTCAGTACCAGAGTCTCTGGAGTTTACCTGGAATGTGTGATGGCAACGTTCTGAAATTCCATTTAAAATGGAACAGGATTGTTTTGCAATCTCACTTTCATGGGTCATGTGTGCCAGGGGATATTCATAAAGACCTCAGATTAGCTGCACATATGGAAATATTGTCAGTGAGGAGGTGAACTCACTTCTTTTAGCTCTTGTTTCAAATACCTGCCTTCCAAAGGAAATAGGAACGAGCACCATGCTATGTGACAGTATCATTGCGTTCTCCTGAAGAATGTCCCATACATGTGTTTAAGAACCTCATTTAGGAAACAGCTGTCCTGTAATAGAGAGGATTATGTTTTAAATATCCATTTTCCTGGTCTGTCTGTGCCAAGTCTATAGAAAATGTAGAAAATGGGTATTTTTATTACCATACAGTTGTTAAGGTAACTCCTTGTGTACTTATTTCATTCCCCCAATGCTGTAGAGGCTACAGAGTTTTATGAATCTGTAATTCAAAGAGTTTTACTTCTTAAACTCTATTGCTAAATTTTGTTAAAATTATTTTAATTTTATACAAATTCTTTTTTTAACCACAGAAGCAATATTCATATTTATTTACAATCTGATAAATTATATCTAACATTAGTAATTGAAAATTTGAGAATCTTTATATTTTATCCAGAAAACATTTGCTCTATATTATCTTTGGAAGACAGCCATTTTAACTATAAAGAGCCTCAGATAATAAACTTTCTGTAGGCAGTAGAACTGTAATTATTTATCTATACTCGACCTCACATCTTCCTTCTTGCTCTATAAGTATTTATGTAGGTAATTAGGTATTTATTAATGGCTTGCTGTGTTTGAACAACTCCACTTAGTAGAAATGTAGACCTAGAAACAAGAAAGGGAAGAGGATGTCAATATTTTCTCCTTTGTGTAATGCAATGTAAAAGAAAAGAAAGCTAACCTAATCCCAGGGGTATTTTAGTTTTTCTTATTTTAGACCCAGAGCTAACAGGAGCAAATGATATTCTTTGAACATTTCAAAATCTTCATAATTCCTTCAGGTTGTATTTTAACTTTTTCAAAGTGGATCAACTTTTCCCTGCTAAATGAAGTCTCTCTTTGGTTGTGAAGAGTGTTGTTACTTAAAACTCATGTGGGGTTGGAAATGCAAATCTGTGGAGTGTATATGAACACTAGGCTTGATCTATTTTTAGCCTCTGCTTTGTAGTTAGATGTCCAGTAGTAAAGTGGAAACTATGGAGACTTATACGTGCTCAGGACTTGGCTGACCTCAGTTAAGACTTAAGAACAATGGCTTGTTCAGAGTCAGTGTGGTTTTTAGCTCAGATTGGTTTACCAATTGCATTCTGAGCCAAGGGTTATAAAATAAATTCTGGAAGGCTTATTCTAAATGCTTTTGTTCTTAGTCACAGTGAGAAAAAAAAACTAAATTAAAGAAAGTAATTCAGGAAAACAAAATGATACAAGACTATTGTTTTATGTTAGTAATTCACAAATACTATTAGAGATGAAAGGAGAAATGGTACTCATGACCACTTCGCAACCATTAGGCAAGGGTTTTTAGCCTCTGTCCATGAGTAGGTTTCAAGAGAGTTTTGGATGATCTCAAATTATATGCAAAATTAGGCGCAGATGAAATTTTTTTTTTTTTTTTTTTTTTTGCTGAGAAAGACCCTAGCTTTTATCAGATTCTCAGAGAACTCTGTGGTTCAACAAAGGTCACAACCACTGCACTGAAAAGTCTGCATATAAATATCAGACAGCCCAGTGTGTGACCTGAGGATCCCTTTCTAAGGAATTAGGATGAAATAAGGAAGATGTTTACGGGGAATGTGGTATATGGAAATCAGGGTGCCATCCTTTCTTTTGAGTAAGATGGGAGTAAAAAAGAAATATTTTGTTATACTTGATAAGTAGAAATGAATAACTTCCAGAAACCAGAGAACAACACAGCACAGTTCTTGGGTGATGGGCCCCTCAACCCTCTGTGGTAATGGTAGGCATCAGATTGTCTGATTCTAAACAGATTAAAATCCAGCCCATATGATACCGTTCAGCATAGCATTCTCTATACCACTTTACAGTAACTCTGAGAAGTAGAAATTATTATCCTCATTTTTAAAATGAGAGAATTGGAGGGACTTCCCTGGTGGTGCAGTGGTTAAGAATCTCTGCCTGCCAATGCAGGGGACACGGGTTCGAGCCCTAGTCTGGGAAGATCCCGCATGCTGCGGAACAACTAAGCCCGTGTGCCACAACTACTGAGCCTGTGCTCTAGAGCCCATGAGCCACAACCACTGAGCCCGCGAGCCACAACTACTGAAGCCCGCATGCCTAGAGCCTGTGCTCCTCATCAAGAGAAGCCACCACAATGACAAGCCCGTGTACTGCAACGAAGAGTAGCCCCTGCTTGCCGCAACTAGAGAAAGCCTGCGCGCAGCAACAAAGACCCAACGCAGCCAAATAAATAAATAAATAAACAAATTTTAAAAATAGCACAAAAAATGTACAAAGAATAAGAAAATATTTTTTTAAAAAAATGAGAGAATTGGAGACCAAAGAGATTAAATGACTTTTCTCCCTTACACTAACAAATAGTGGAAGAGTGACTTGAGCGCCCCAACCTACCCCAAGTCCCCCACCCTTTCTACAAGTTCCCAGTAACTCCCCTTGACTACATGGCTACCATATTTTTCTTGAAGCATCAATGTGTAGTTTTGCATTATGCTTCCTTTTCTTTCCCCTGCTTCTCCTGGAGAAACCAAGATTTAGAGCAGGGAACAATAGGTAGAAACAATAGCTAGAAAATCCCAGGGGCATTATGAATGCCAAACCTGGAACCTTACACACTCTTTAACTGTCACTTAGAATCAGACCTGAGACTCACAAGGGCTCTGGAAGACACCAGTTTGGGGATAAGAAAACTGAAACATGAGTGACTTGCCCTGGGCACCGTGCCTAACCTTAAATTGTGCCCCTTACCTACACTCATGTCACATTGATTGACCCTTGGTTGTTACCCAGATCATAACCTCTTTTGAAACTTCTAGACTTTGCAAAGAACGTGTTAATGTTCAAACCAGTTGTAATTCTCACAGAAGATACCAATGCTA